TGTGGGGTTTGGGCCGAGTCCTCGAGCCTGCCCTGAGCTGTCCAGCAGGCTGGGCCCTGCCCTCAGTGGTGGGTCCTGGGGAGAGCTGAAGCTGGTTAATGGTGCATGCCGGGCTCCTGCCTTTTCTTCAGCACACACAGTTTCTCCCTAAACAACCCAAGGCTTCCCCCTCCCCTGCCCCCCTGAAGAGAGAGAGGTTCCCTGAGGGTCCAGTGGGAGGGAGCTGCAGGGTTTTCTTCCTCACATTTCGTCTCAGAAGAACTCTTGTTCATTTCCCCTTCCTTGAGCGGATCTGAGGGGTTTTGGTGAAAGGTGAGCAGACAGCCTCCTCTGGGGCTGGGCACACTCTTGTGATGGACACTTGCCTGCTGCTTCCTGTGTGGCCTGGTTCAGCCCAGGCTGACCTGAGAAACAGATGACCCCATAAGAGAGGCTGTGGAGGGTAATGGCACACTCCAGTCCAAGTGCTTGTCTCTAGGGCACATTCTGCAGGGTTTTATACAGGTTTGAATTACAGGCACTGTCTTCTCCTGGACTGCTGTAGCAAGGCACCACAGACCGAGGGACATAGAAACAGTACACGTTTATTCCTCAGAGCCATGGAGGCTGGAGGTCTGGGACCAGGTGCAGGCATGTCGGGTTCTGGGGAAGACCTGCCCCAGGCTCCATCTTCTTGTATATCATGCCATGGGTTTGCGAGCTCCAGAGCATCCCTTTTCCTAAGGGCACTCATCCCATTCGGAAGGGCTCTGCGGTCATGACCTGTCACCTCCCAAAGGCCCCCTCTCCTAGTACCATCACCTTTGGGGGCTTGGGATTTCAAAATACAAATTTTGGAGGAACGCAAATAGTCTGTAACAAACACATTGCCATTAAAGCAAAGCTTTAGCATCAGGGACGATTTGGGAGGGACTGGCTGCACCAGGGCAGGCACCGTGCCCTTGGGCCCAGGAGATGGAGTGGTCTTGGTGGAGGAGGCTCACGCGTGGGCCCCTGTGTGGGTGGGTGTGCATCCAGGGCTAACGCCCACAGCTAGTGTCTTCCAGAAGTAGCCGGCCCGGCAGGGGCCAGGGGCCGAAGGAGGAGTTGGGGGCAGTGGCGGCTGACCAGCTCCCTTGCTTTCCAGGACTGGGTTCCACCCCAGCGCGCCCTGGCTCTCCTCTGCAGCCCCCGGCTCGTCCAACCCACCTCTGCTGTTGGGCTTGGTCGAGTCGCCAGGCTTTTCTGGGCCTCAGTTTCCTTCCCCGTGCAAAGGGGACAGCAGAACCCTCTTTGCGGGTTATGGGGAAGGCTGGGGTGCCCGCGAGGGTCCCGGGTCCTGTCCCGCCTCAGGAAGGCCTGGGGTCTGCAGCGGCGTCGGACCCCCCCGCCAGGGGACGCTGTGGGCTCGCGCGGGCCCAGCCCTGGTTCCCGGGTGTACGGCGGGGTCTGGAGGTGGGTGGCGGGGCCGGGCTCTCCCTGGGATCCGGGGCCGGAACGTGGAGACGCGGCGGGCTGAGCCGCTCAGTGCGGCCCCCGCTCCGCCCAGAGGTCCGAGGTGGTCGCGGGGCCGCCTCCCGGGAGAGCTTGCCAGCCATCCCTCCCGGCTGTGGGGCCTCCCCAGTCCTGGGGTCCTGGCGCTCCCTGGCTGGGGGGTGGTCTGCAGGCCCTTTTCCTGATCTGCCTGGGTCCCCGAGGAGAAAACGCTGAGGATCCCGTTGCTGGACTATGGATGGGGTAGGAGCCGCCCGAGGGAATCAGGGGTCTGGGTTCTGGGAGTAAGCCTAGTTGGCTTCTCCGCAGTAGAGATGCCCGCTGGGGCCAGAGGGCAAACTGGGGGCAGGAGGGAGACTTGCCTTGGCGCTCCTTAGCCGCCCCCACCCCGTGGTGCGTACTCTCAGCCCCGCCCTCCACGCGCTCCCCACTCCGGCCCCGCCCTCCACGCGCTCCCTCGCCTCCGGCCCCGCCCTCCACGCGCTCCCACTCCGGCCCCGCCCTCCACGCGCTCCCTCTCCTCCGGCCCCGCCCTCCACGCGCTCCCACTCCAGCCCCGCCCTCCACGCGCTCCCCCTCCTCCGGCCCCGCCCTCCACGCGCTCCCCCTCCTCCGGCCCCGCCCTCCACGCGCTCCCACTCCTCCGGCCCCGCCCTCCACGCGCTCCCACTCCGGCCCCGCCCTCCACGCGCTCCCCCTCCTCCGGCCCCGCCCTCCAAGCGCTCCCACTCCTCCGGCCCCGCCCTCAACGCTCTCCCACTCCGGCCCCGCCCTCCACGCGCTCCCCCTCCTCCGGCCCCGCCCTCCACGCGCTCCCCCTCCTCCGGCCCCGCCCTCCACGCGCTCCCACTCCGGCCCCGCCCTCCACGCGATCCCACTTCTCCGGCCCCGCCCTCCACGCGCTCCCCCTCCTCCGGCCCCGCCCTCCAAGCGCTCCCACTCCTCCGGCCCCGCCCTCAACGCGCTCCCACTCCGGCCCCGCCCTCCACGCGCTCCCTCTCCTCCGGCCCCGCCCTCCACGCGCTCCCACTCCTCCGGCCCCGCCCTCCAAGCGCTCCCACTCCTCCGGCCCCGCCCTCAACGCGCTCCCACTCCGGCCCCGCCCTCCACGCGCTCCCTCTCCTCCGGCCCCGCCCTCCACGCGCTCCCACTTCTCCGGCCCCGCCCTCCACGCGCTCCCACTTCTCCGGCCCCGCCCTCCACGCGCTCCCCCTCCTCCGGCCCCGCCCTCCACGCGCTCCCACTCCGGCCCCGCCCTCCACGCGCTCCCCCTCCTCCGGCCCCGCCCTCCACGCGCTCCCACTCCGGCCCCCCCTCCCGCCCCTCGTTCCGAGCTCTCTGCGCCTCACGCTGGCTCTGCTCGGGCTTGGAGCAGCGTCTGTCTGGGAAACAGCCTCATTTGTCTGCTCAAGGGCTCCAGGCGTCAGGCTGCTGTGCTGCTGCTTTGCGAGGTGTGACTGCAGCGCAGCCGGGAAACGAGTCCTTGCGGCGTGGGTGTTGGGGGACAGCTCGTTCTTCTTGCGGCGTGGGTGTTGGGGGACAGCTCGTTCTGCTTGCGGCGTGTTGGTGGTGGCTCAAAAAGTGTCTACGGGCTGGGCTCGTGTGTGTCATCCCAGTGCTTTGGGAGGCTGAGGCGGGCGGATCACTTGAGTCCAGGAGTTTGAGAGCAGCCTGGGCAACATAGTGAGACCCTGTCTTTAAAAAAAAAATTGCCTGGCGTGGTGACGCACACGTGTGGTCGCAGCTACTCCCGAGGCTGATGTGGGAGGATAGTCTGAGCTCGGGGATTCGAAGCTGCAGTGAGCTGTGACCACACTCCAGCCTGGGTGACAGTGAGACCCCTTCTCAATTAAAAAAAAAAAAAATGAAGCAAAAGGAAAATGAACTGTCTACAGCCCCTGAGTGCCGGGTGGACATGTGACTTGCTTCCAATGCACGGAATGAAGGGACTGCAGACGGTCCTTGGCCTCAAATGTGTTGAGGCTTCCTCTTGGCTCCCTCCTGGGTCACTGGCTCTGGGGGACCCAGTGCCATGTTCCGAGGATACCCAGCCGCTGAAGCATCTATGTAATGAGGAGCAGAGGCCTCCTGCCAGGCGGGCAGGGGAGGGAGACTTCTCAGGAGATGTCCCAGCACCTGCCCAATATTCAGATGCCAAGGCCTCGGCCAATGTCCTGACTGCAACCTGATGAGAGACCCCGAGCCAGAACCACCCAAAATGCCACTTTAATTCTTGAACCACAGAAGCTGTGAAATAGTTGTTGTTTTAAGCTGCTAGGTTCTGGAGAAATTTGTTACACAGCAGCAGACAGCTAATGTCGTCAGGGAAGGTGACTGGATGGAGCTGGCCCTGGCATGTTTGGCTGACTCACTCTGAGGAGGGGCACTGAGGCAGCCTTGAGCTGTCTGGGCTTGACAGGCAGGGCCCTCGTGGCCTGGAAAGCTGGGGTACTTGGTGGGTGGTCGGAGGTGGGCATACACCCTGGGATACCTTGTGAGGTGGTAAATGAGGGGTCCTGTCTGCGAGCTGGACAGACTGCCCAGAGTTCTGGGTCATGAGGACTGAAACCAACCCTGGGGGCTCACGCCTGGCTGCCAGGCTGGAATGCCAGGTGTGGAACCAGCTGAGAACCATGGGCCAAGGATGGGGGCCCGGCCACGGCGCACCTGGGTTGTCTTCTGGGACCAGCCCCGGCCCCTCCCCCCGGACAGTCAGTGGTGTCTGAACCGCCTGCCCTTCATTACCAGCACCCGCCCCCACCAGAGTTTCAGTGTGCAGCTCCTGCTGGCTGAGTACAAGCCCCAGCCACACCGTGGGAGGAAGAGTTCCAGGCACCAGCCTGTCCAAGTGACAGATGGTCCCTAGGCCATGGTGGCCCAGAGGTCCTGGTGGAAGGGCCCTGTGTCCTGTAGCAAACTATGAGAGGACCATCGGCCACGGCCTGGGGAGGGGGTACAAAGGAGCACAAGGGCGTGGCGGGGACGGCCAACTGCTGGAACATCACTTGGGTTTCAGGCCGTGACAGTGGATTTCGTGGTCTCAGTTGCTGCAGGTGTTGCTGGCCTTTGCAGCAGCACAGCACTGCTGCCTGAGGTGCCCACACTGTGCCACCTCCCAGCCCTGTCTTGGGAGGAGCCCAAGGGATCCTGACTGTTCCACGCAGTGCTGGCCCAAGTCGAGATCACGGTTTGGGTTCCTTCCCCTCCCAACCATTGTCATTAGGGAACCCCAGCCCCAGAACCTTCCGGGGCTTGTCCATCTGTCTGTCCCTTGTGGGTAATTGGACTCAGGAGGCTTGCTGTGCTGGGGCCTTCTGCTCTGACCTGGATCCCTGTTGCTGTCCACCCAGGGGCGGTTCAGGAAGCAGACGTGGGAGGTTTATCCCCATGACTGTCTCTGGAGGTCTGGTGGCCAGCATTTTGAGGGTCTGTGTCTCGCTGTGTGGAGAAGACAGCATGGGGATGTGAACAGGCAGAGCGTCCCCTGGAAGAGGCCGCCTGAACTGGGTGGGTGGGGGTGTGGGTGATGGCGGGGGTGATGATGGGTGCTCAGGCCCCTCAGCACCGGAACATGGTGCGGAAATTCTTGCGGAAGCTGTCGTCCAGAAAGGCATAGAGGAAGGGGTTCAGGCACGAGTTGGCATAGCTAAGGCTGGTGATGACGTAGGACATGCTGATGACCAGCGGGGTCTGGGGCAGGTCTGTGGCCAGGGCCACGACGGAGGCCAGGTGGAAGGGCGTCCAGCAGAGGAGGCACACGGTCAGCACGACGAGGACGAGGATGGTCACCTTCCGCCTGGCCTTGCCTAGAGCCTTGGCGCCAGAGCAGAGCCGCACGGCCCGCAGCCTGCGCAGCAGGTCTGTGTAGAGCACACAGATGGTGCACACGGGCACCACGAAGCCCAGGACCACCGTGTAGACGCGGCTGGCCTTGGACCAGGCCTGCTCGGGCTGCGGGAAGCTCAGCCCACAGCTTGGCACCTGCAGCTCATTGCTGTAGACGCCAGCAAAAGAGAAGAAGGGCAGAACCAGGACGGTGACGCCCAGCCAGACACACAGGCTGATGACCTTCGCCCCCCGGTAGGTGCGCCAGGGCATGTGGCGGGACCGCACGGTGGCCAGCACCACCAGGTATCGGTCCGCGCTCATCACGGCCAGGAAGTAGATGCTGGAGAAGATGTTGTAGTGGTCGATGGCCAGCGTCAGCTTGCAGAGCAGCCCCCCGAAGGGCCAGTGCTGCAGCAGGTGTTCTGCGATATTGACAGGCAGCACCAATGTGAAGAGCCCATCAGCAATGGCCAGGTTCAAGATGAACACGTTGGTCACCGTCTTCATCTTGGGTGCCCTCAGGATGACCAGGATGACGGCTGTGTTGCCGGTCAGCCCCACGGCGCAGATCCCAGAGTACACGGTGGGCAGGAGCACGTAGAGGATCGGTAGTGGCTCTGAGAAGGTGGCGTTGTGGCCGGTGCCATTGTCCTGAGAGACGTTGGCACCCGCTGTGGTGAGGGAGGAGGCACCCCTGCTGTGAAGGGGCTCCAGACACCCAGCGGCCTGCATCGTAGGTGGGACCGTTGACGGTTTGTGCCCCGGGCAGGTGGGGGGTGCCTTGGAGTTGGGTGTCTGGTAAGAGGTCTCCTTGGGCTGGATTCTAGGAAAGAAAATCAACCAGAAACTTTGAGATCTGGCCGTCTGTTAGAGCACAGCCGCTCCAAGTTCTCTGGCGAAGACGGTGGGCCACTTTGCCAGGTCAAGTGCCTGGGGCCAGAGGGAGCTGGAGCCAGGTGGAGTGTGTGGGGGCCTCCCCCAGCCTCCTCCCGGTGATGCTTCGGCAGGTCAGTTCCCTCCTCCCGCAGAGAGGGGCTGCTGGCCACCCTCCTGGGAAGAGGAGATGTGGTTCTGCCCCTGCCCCAGCAACCTGCAAACGCAGTCTAAGTACAATCAAGCAATCCCTTTGAAAACACCTCCCAGCTCATCTCTGGTCCCCTTGAATCTGAAGCTCCTCACTCCAGGGGTCTTGGAGTTGGCACCCTCCCTCCCAACCTCCTAGAGGTGCTGCAGACCCCGCTGGCCCACCTGCTTTTCTCTCTACTGACCTGTCCAGGGCGTCGAGCCCGGAATTTGGTAGCTTTGGTGTGTTCCTGGTGGCGGCCAGTACAGGCAGTTGCAGGGATCGGGGGGGAGGTGTGGTCCTCACCAGCAGACCCCAGCTGAGGTTTCAGGAGTTTCAGGACCTGCCCTGCTGGCTGCCTCGGCCCTGGAGGCAAGGTTCCCAGCCCGGTGGCAGCGCTGATGCTGGTGAGGGAGGGAGGCGGATCCCCCACGCTGACGTGGAACCCGGAAGGCAGGGCCCCCCTTCCCCTGAGCTGCAGTAGCGCCTGCAGTCGGCTGTCCCAGGCGAACTCCTCAGTGGGTGGCCAAGGCACGTGTCTGCCTGTGCGTGTGTGCGCCTGTGTGTCAGGAAGGCACTCCATGCAGGGGCCTGCGGGTGTGCCCAGGTCTTTGGGCAGAGGGTACTGAGGGCATCTGTGCCTCGTCTGGGCGTCACTGTGGCCCTGGGCACCCTTATCTGTGTACATGGGGGTCTCGGTGGGTCTTGTGGCCCACCCTGTGTGGTGAGGGTACATGGTGCTTGCCTGTGTGTGTGCCAGTGAGGACAAGTTCATGTGTGCGGGCCTGTGTCTGCCTGTACGGGGGTTTCTCTGCATTGCATCTGAGTGGGTTGAGCGTGGGGGTCTCATGTGGAAGCACCACTCTTTGGACATAGGCAACCCAACTTCTTTTTCTGTCTTCTTCTAAAATGAGGAACTTGGACTCAGTAAGCTGTGAAAGGCTGCAAAGAAGACGTTCGCACCCCAAGGCGCCGTCCTGCAGAGGCGGCGAGCGGCGTGCTCTGCTCTGGGCTGCTCTCTGCGTCCTTCCCTGCTTTTCTTCCTTGCTGGATGCACCCTGGCAAGTTCCACTGCTGCGTGTGCAGCTGGGTAGCTCCTGGACGTGCTTTGCCGGCCACGCCACAGCTGACGTGGGCAGCTAGCCTGTCTCGGGGCTGCTCCTCAGCAGGGACGTGCTGGGTCAGAGGATCTCTGTGTTTTCTTTCTTTCTTTTTGAAACAGGGTCTTGCTCTGTCACCCGGCCTGGGGTGCAGTGGCACTAGCATGGCTCTGGGACTCTGAGCCCCTCCCAGACTCTACCTCTGCTCTCCTGAGCTTGTCCTGAGGGCTGGGCTGGCACCACGGCCAGCCGGTCTCATTGGAGGTGCGGTGGGATGATGGGAAGGATGGGGACACTGAGGGCAGTGGGGTGGGGGAGGCGGCGGGTGCTGAGCTCAGGACCCGTGGTGCCAGCTGGAGGTGTCGGGCCCTCCTGGCCACAAAAGCAGCATCCCCAGGTGCCTTTCCTTCCTCCCAGACCCACCTCACCTACATCCACTGCAACAGCAGGGCCGGAGCCAGGGGTGCTCCCTGGTCTGTACCCCCAGCCCTCAGGGCTCAGAAAGGCCCTTTGCTCTCTCTGTGGGCTGGGCATTGTTCCAGCCAACTGTGAGATTCTGAGAGCATTGTTCTGTGGAGATGATTTCCATTTTCAGAAATAAACTGGCCTTTTCAAATGAACCGGTGAGGCCCTTTGGGTGTAGAGAGGAGAGGCCAGGGAGGGAGAGAGCTGTGCTCAGCTCTGTCGGGTGGAATGGCTGTTGGGGCCTGGGAGCAAGGCTGTGGACGGAGCACATACTCTGTCTGGGGTGCGGGGGTGAGGGGGCAATGGTGCCAGTCTGTGTGCATCTGAGCATTTTGTGGGCCTGCGTGTGGGGGTCTTGCAGGGACCCAGAGGAGAAGCAGCCCTACATTTATGCATGGCTGAGCCCAAAAACATTGTACCCCAGGGCAGGAGCCAGGGAGAAGCGCCAGGACCCTGAGACAGCCCACGCAGCATCCAGGCAGAGCTGTGCCGGCATTACTGTCACTGCCACTTCATGCATGTGTGGCAGCTACCCTCTGCCTGCCCCTCACTGCGCGCCGTGACTCAGTCTCCACACACACATGCAGATATGTAGCAGATGGAGTCACACAGACTCACGAGCGTGCATGTTGGCTGTCTCATCTCCGGCCAGGCAGGCCCTGGAGGGGTGGACTCTGTCCTGCTCCCTCTACCCCATCAGCTCTCCAAGATGAGCCTCAGCAGTGACTGTACCCCTGCAGGGTAAGTGTTCCCAAGAGGCCTACGCCATCAAGACCAGTGAGAGGGCCGGGCACAGTGGCTCACACTTGTAGTACCAGCAGTTTGGGAGACCAAGGTGGGCAGATGGCTTGAGCCCAGGAGTTCGAGACCAGTCTAGGCAACATGGTGAAACTGCATCTCTCCAAAAATACAAAAGGCTGGGTGCGCTGACTCACGCCTGTAATCACAGCACTTTGGGAAGCTGAGGTGGGCGGAGCACCTGAGGTCAGGAAGTCAAGACCAGCCTTGCAGGTCGGGCGCGGTGGCTCAAGCCTGTAATCCCAGCACTTTGGGAGGCCGAGGCAGGTGGATCACGAGGTCGAAAGATCGAGACCATCCTGGTCAACATGGTGAAACCCCGTCTCTACTAAAAATACAAAAAAACTAGCTGGGCGTGGTGGCGCATGCCTGTAATCCCAGCTACTTAGGAGGCTGAGGCAGGAGAATTGCCTGAGCCCAGGAGGCGGAGGTTGCGGTGAGCCGAGATCGTGCCATTGCACTCCAGCCTGGGTAACAAGAGCGAAACTCCGTCTCAAAAAAAAAAAAAAAAAAAAAAAAAGACCAGCCTTGCCAACACGGTGAAATCCTGTCTGTACTAAACATACAAAAATTAGCTGGGCGTGGTGGTAGGTGCCTGTAATCCCAGCTACTCAGGAGGCTGAGGCAGAGGTTGCAGTGAGCCGAGATCACGCCACTGCACTCCAGCCTGGGTGACAGAGCAAGACTGTCTCAAAAAAAAAAACCCCAAACCCACAAAAAAACCAAAAGATTAGCTGGGTATGGTGGCACATGCCTATAGTCCCAGCTACATGGGAGGACTGCGGAGGGCAAAGGGAACAATTCCTGTTCTCACGGGGCTGGCCCTTTGGTGGATGAAATGGTGCAGGGCGCTGTAGGGCCGGAGGAAGGGGGGTTCTGGGGGGGGCAGGAGGCCACTGGGCCTTGCTAAGAAGGCTACTCTTGTGCTGAAACCCAGAGCGGGTAGGGGGGCAAGGCCCCTGGGGGACAGAGGGCCCTTGGGGCCAGGTCCTAAGGCCAGAGGTTCTGGAGGTGACAGCCAGGGGAGCAGAGGCCTGAGCAGGTTGGGAAGACGCCATTGCAGGGGTCCTGCCCTAGGGGCCTGTGGGAGCCGGGAAGCTGGAGGTCAGGATGGCGTGTGGGTCTGGCTGCCTGTGGCAGCCCCGCCCTGACCACGGCCTGTGTCGGCAGGGGCTTGCAGGGCTCCCTCTCATCTCTGAGCCTCATCTGCTGAAGCTGTGCCTGCCCTACCCACAGCCTCCTGCCGCCCCAGGCACGTGTAGGCAGCAGGCTCAACGAGGCTGGTACAAAGCACCCATCGTGACTGAGACGCGCAGACAGGAAGGAGGGTGGCTGCTCCCCAGGGCCCAGGCCTGTCTCCTCTTGGGGCTGGGAGGGTTGTTTAAATCGATTGCAGCCTCCTGCTCACCTACAAAGGCCCCAATCCAAGCACAGGAGAATGGCCTCAGGACAATGTTCCCCAGTGGGGACTGCTCCCTGTTCTTTTTCTGGCCAGTCCAAGACCCCAATAACCAGGAATAGGCCCGGAGAGGGCCCCGCCCTGTGCTCAGGAGCCTGCAGGTGCTCTCTCGAAGCTCAATCCCAGAGGGCTTCACTGAGGAGGTGTCACTGTGCCTGTCCTCGGGGGCGTGTTCCTGGGTGATCTCAGTGTGGCTGGAGATGTAAGAGAGGGCTGGAGGGGGTCTCATCCTGTCCTCAGGGCTGGGAGGATCCGCGGCCTCCTTTGTGGGCAGGGTGGGCAGGCAGGTGCAGGCACCTTTGAGTCTCCGGAGAAGGGGTTACTCAGGCATGTCAGTGCATGGGGACACACATCTGGGTGGGTGGGAGTGTCTGTCCTGTGACACCCTTCACTGGTGCCTGCAGCGGCAGAGCCCCCGGAGCTCCCAAAGGGCCCAGGAGTGTCCGAGACCTGATGGGAATGACCGTATGTCTGGCTTTCTCGTCAGGCCTTGAATTCTTGCTGAAGGATCCTTTACTCAGAAAGGCAGATCCATGCCCAAATCTGGAGGCTTTTGATGCCCTGTTGGCTCCTGGCCTGGAGACCCTGCAGGCTGGCAGTCCGTGCCCCTCCACAGGGGCTCATGCCCACATGGCTGGTTTTGAGGTGGTCTTGAGGCTGTCATGGCAGCTGGGGGTAGGGGCTTGGGGAGTGGGGGCTGCAGCTCTGGGATGCTCCAGACCTGGTGACCTTGGACCAGGCTCTCCATTGTGGGCAGATGAGGAGGGGTGGGAAGGTTGGAGGAGAAAGGCTGGGTGAGGCAGGCTCCCGCCTTCTGGATCCCTCACCTTGGGGACTTCCATACGGGGGGAACAGACCCAGGCTGGCAGCTAGTATGGTTGGAAAGATGGGCCCCGTTGGGGGTGAGGGAGCTTCTGGCCTTGCCCATTCCTTTCCCCTTCTAACCTGCCTGGCACCAATCCTGAGCTCGGGGTATCGGAGGCAGTGCTGGGAGGTGGCATCTGGCCATTGCATATTGAATCCTCAGCACAGAGGTGGGCATTTTGATGCAGCAGCCAGGACTGGAGTGGAGACACCCTCAGCTCTGGGGACCCTGCCATGGGCCCTCCTGCTGATTGGCTGGCCTGGTTCCCATCTCTACCTCTTTGCTCCCAGCACCTCTGCTGGTCCATGTAACAGACACTGATGTGCCCCAACGCATGCCAGGCCCTGGGCTCAGTGCTGGGACCTGGCAGGGGCTGGGGTGGCACCTCTGTCCAGGGCTTGTGGATGGGACCCTCTTGCCCCTACCCTGGGAGCAGCTGGGAGGGGCCCAGCCGAGGACTGCAGCTCTCCCTGGTCCAGAACGTTTGGCCAGGCAGGGAGAGGGGCTCTACTTGCAAAGTCTGTGGTGGGGGTTTTTTAATCAGAGGAACCGAGCTGGAAGGAGATGTGAATGGTGGTTCAGCTCTGGGAAGCAAATAAACCTTTGTAAGTCAGAA